AGACTTTTACATGATTTAAGGGCTATTAATGAGCATATGAAGCCTTTAGGGACCCTTCAAACAAGAATGCCCCACCATACTGCTATTCCCAAAGAGTGTGTAATTATTATTATAGATATTAAGGACTGTTTCTTTTCTATTCCTCTTCATGATAATAATATACAAAGCAAATGGTATTAAGGAAAAAGCAGGTGTAGCAATTCTATTATCTGACAAAACAGATTTTAAACTAAAACTAATCAGAAGAGATAAAGAGGCCATTTTGCCTTCTCTATACCTACCACTAACCATAACCTTCCAGTTCAACGCTATCAATGGAAGGTTTTGCCTCAGGGCATGAAAAACAGTCCTACTATCTGCCAATATTATGTGGCCCATGACTGCAGACCTTTGCTGACTCAGGTTTATATTTTACATTATATGGATGACATTCTTATAACCCATAAGGATACTGAGATCTTACAAGGAGCTTTTCTAAAAACTCAAAACAAACCTCCAGGCATTAGGTCTTACTATTGTAGCAGATAAAATACAGTTACATGCCCCTTATATCTTTTTTGGCCACTCTATTCAAGATGTCATTTGGCCCATAGCTCTTGTTCTTACCTTCTCATGCCATAAGGACTGTCAAATGTGCCATGGTCCTTATGGGAATTCCTTGGCAAATAAAAACAGATAATGGCCCATGTTATGTTTCTGCTCTGACTGGAATATTAGGCATATAACTGGTATCCCTTACAATCCTCAGGGTCAAGGGATTGTTGAATGTTCCCACCAAACACTCACTAAACAAATACAAAAAATAAGGGAAGAAATGATAAAGGCCCCCGCTATAAGGTCCCCAATTTTGTTATACAACAAGCTCTATTTGTATTAAATTTTCTAAAATTTGACTCCAATGGCCCCCCACCAGCAATAAAGCATTGGGGGGCATTTACTCAGCCAACTCCTGCCCCCATGGTGAGATGGAAGGACCCTCTCACAAGTGAATGGAAAGGTCCACACCTATTATTAACACACTATGCTTGTGTCTTTCCAGGTAATGTTCCAGCCCCCATTTGGATCCCAGCCCAGAACATCAGAATTGCCTGCAACGGAAAACCTCCCTCCACAACCACTGACCCCAGAGATGGCAACCTTGACCCTGGAGGAAGCAGCGCATCTCTCAACCACCGAGAGACCGATCTCACAGACCACGAAAGCCACCAACCTGGGGAGACCTCAAACATCTCTCTCCACAACAGAGACATTAGCTAACTTAAGTCCTCAATCTAGAGGAAAACCTTTGTCTATGTTCCTTATTATTTATGCAACCTATCTGTGTTATTATGTCTGCCATCATTACTGCTAACTCCTGATTTTTGGACCCTGCATTGTTAAGGGTCTTGATAATTTTGTTAAAACTCATTTTTCTCTGGTTCAGTTAGCTGTTGCCCTGCCTCCAGATCTTGCCACGCATGTCTCTGCAAACAAGGACCCGCCGTTCCTTGCCCTTACCAACCTATAATAATAGAAAATCTGTGTTATTATGTCTGCCATCATTACTGCTAACTCCTGATTTTTGGACCCTGCATTGTTAAGGGTCTTGATAATTTTGTTAAAACTCATTTTTCTCTGGTTCAGTTAGCTGTTGCCCTGCCTCCAGATCTTGCCACGCATGTCTCTGCAAACAAGGACCCGCCGTTCCTTGCCCTTACCAACCTATAATAATAGAAATATGAAAAACAGGCTTGAGCATAGGCATAAAATCTTATGGAACAACCATGCAATGGACCTGAGACAACAGCCTGACTGCCAGAGCCACAGTAATTTTGGACCCTGTATTCTCAAGGGTCTCCTTAATTTTGTTAAAACTCATATTTCTCTGGTTCAGTTAGCTCTTGCCCCGCCTCCAGATCTTGCCAGGCATGTCTCTGAAAGCAAGGGCCCACTGCTCCTTGCCCTTACCAACCTATAATTGTCCTCTGACAGTTTTCAACAAACTCTTGACCCCTGAGGAGACCTTTAAACAAGCCAATACTGGATGTACTGCCTCTCCCTCTGCCAAACCACACAAGGGACCCATCCTTCGAGGGTTGGTAGTCAATGACGGGTAAGATCCTGAGAGACGGGACAACCTAAGACAGGCACAGTCCATTATGCTGGGTGACCCTTGAGGTGGGGACAACAATGCCGAGGCAAAGAACCTCGACACCCACTGGTTGGCATGGAGTTGGCCCAGCCTGCTCTCGAGGAAGCTCACCATCTTGAGGGAGGGGGCTCTTGATACAATGACCCCCTGAGCCATTCTACTTTGCCTTGATGTATTTGGACTGATATCAATCTGCTATATATTCTAAACTACCTCACCTTTAAAAATAAAAAAAGGGGGAGATGTGGGAGACAGGCTTGAGCCTAGGGTGAAAGTCTTATTGACAGCCATACAGCAGGCCTGAGGCAATGGCCCGACCACTGGAGCCACAAGGAATGCCTTGTGACATTTTACTCCCATTGGCAGATCATGAGACTGATGCCTAGAGCTCGCCACTCCCTAATCACCACCCTTGGAATCAAGGTATCCTACTTGCTGTACTGTGATAGGATGCTAAACCTGTTATGCTAATAAGGTATCCTACTTGCTATGCTGTGATTGGGCCACTACCCCTATATAAGCTTGTGCCTTCCTGCAACAAAGCAGATCTGTGTCACTGAACCTGGTCTCCTGCATCTGAATGCGGTGATGCTGGCGCAGACTCCTCACTAACCCTGGGGTCTGGACCGGACAACTGATCAGAGGAACTGAGAGAGCAGGAAAGCGGCCATAGCCAGATGAGAGCAGCCACAGCTGGCGACCACACACTTATTGCAAGAGCAATAAGACAAGAGCAGGAAATTAAAGGAGTAATAATTGGAAAAAAAGGGATCAAATTATCCCTTTTTGCAGATAATATGATATTATATCTAAGAGGTGCCAAAAATTCCACCAGAAAACTCCTAAAAATTATTAACAAGTTCACTAAAGTGGCAGATTACAAAATTAACCCACAAAAGTCTGTAGCCTTTCTATACACTAATAACAAGCAATCAGAGAAAGAGTACATGGAAACACTCCCCTTCACAATAGCTGCAAATAAAATAAAATAAATAAGAATAAACCTGACCAAAGACATTAAAGAGCTCTACAATGAAAATATTAAATCTTTAAAGAAAGAGACTGAGGAAGACATCAGAAGATGGAAGGATGTCCCATACTCATGGATTG